TGTTCCCCAAGTTTTGGACTCAATCCGATATCGATTGGTCCATGAAATCGGACTATTCAGGTTCGTAGGAAGTTCGTTCTGAAATGGAGTGGTTGGTGTATTGCATAGTTTTAGCCATTGGATTTCACTCAAACCAACCAAATGACTCCTCCCACCATATTATGTTGTTCCCCAAGTTTTGGACTCAATCCGATATCGATTGGTCCATGAAATCGGACTATTCAGGTTCGTAGGAAGTTCGTTCTGAAATGGAGTGGTTGGTGTATTGCATAGTTTTAGCCATTGGATTTCACTCAAAACCACCAAATGACTCCTCCCACCATATTATGTTGTTCCCCAAGTTTTGGACTCAATCCGATATCGATTGGTCCATGAAATCGGACTATTCAGGTTCGTAGGAAGTTCGTTCTGAAATGGAGTGGTTGGTGTATTGCATAGTTTTAGCCATTGGATTTCACTCAAAACCAACCAAATGACTCCTCCCACCATATTATGTTGTTCCCCAAGTTTTGGACTCAATCCGATATCGATTGGTCCATGAAATCGGACTATTCAGGTTCGTAGGAAGTTCGTTCTGAAATGGAGTGGTTGGTGTATTGCATAGTTTTAGCCATTGGATTTCACTCAAAACCAACCAAATGACTCCTCCCACCATATTATGTTGTTCCCCAAGTTTTGGACTCAATCCGATATCGATTGGTCCATGAAATCGGACTATTCAGGTTCGTAGGAAGTTCGTTCTGAAATGGAGTGGTTGGTGTATTGCATAGTTTTAGCCATTGGATTTCACTCAAAACCAACCAAATGACTCCTCCCACCATATTATGTTGTTCCCCAAGTTTTGGACTCAATCCGATATCGATTGGTCCATGAAATCGGACTATTCAGGTTCGTAGGAAGTTCGTTCTGAAATGGAGTGGTTGGTGTATTGCATAGTTTTAGCCATTGGATTTCACTCAAAACCAACCAAATGACTCCTCCCACCATATTATGTTGTTCCCCAAGTTTTGGACTCAATCCGATATCGATTGGTCCATGAAATCGGACTATTCAGGTTCGTAGGAAGTTCGTTCTGAAATGGAGTGGTTGGTGTATTGCATAGTTTTAGCCATTGGATTTCACTCAAAACCAACCAAATGACTCCTCCCACCATATTATGTTGTTCCCCAAGTTTTGGACTCAATCCGATATCGATTGGTCCATGAAATCGGACTATTCAGGTTCGTAGGAAGTTCGTTCTGAAATGGAGTGGTTGGTGTATTGCATAGTTTTAGCCATTGGATTTCACTCAAAACCAACCAAATGACTCCTCCCACCATATTATGTTGTTCCCCAAGTTTTGGACTCAATCCGATATCGATTGGTCCATGAAATCGGACTATTCAGGTTCGTAGGAAGTTCGTTCTGAAATGGAGTGGTTGGTGTATTGCATAGTTTTAGCCATTGGATTTCACTCAAAACCAACCAAATGACTCCTCCCACCATATTATGTTGTTCCCCAAGTTTTGGACTCAATCCGATATCGATTGGTCCATGAAATCGGACTATTCAGGTTCGTAGGAAGTTCGTTCTGAAATGGAGTGGTTGGTGTATTGCATAGTTTTAGCCATTGGATTTCACTCAAAACCAACCAAATGACTCCTCCCACCATATTATGTTGTTCCCCAAGTTTTGGACTCAATCCGATATCGATTGGTCCATGAAATCGGACTATTCAGGTTCGTAGGAAGTTCGTTCTGAAATGGAGTGGTTGGTGTATTGCATAGTTTTAGCCATTGGATTTCACTCAAAACCAACCAAATGACTCCTCCCACCATATTATGTTGTTCCCCAAGTTTTGGACTCAATCCGATATCGATTGGTCCATGAAATCGGACTATTCAGGTTCGTAGGAAGTTCGTTCTGAAATGGAGTGGTTGGTGTATTGCATAGTTTTAGCCATTGGATTTCACTCAAAACCAACCAAATGACTCCTCCCACCATATTATGTTGTTCCCCAAGTTTTGGACTCAATCCGATATCGATTGGTCCATGAAATCGGACTATTCAGGTTCGTAGGAAGTTCGTTCTGAAATGGAGTGGTTGGTGTATTGCATAGTTTTAGCCATTGGATTTCACTCAAAACCAACCAAATGACTCCTCCCACCATATTATGTTGTTCCCCAAGTTTTGGACTCAATCCGATATCGATTGGTCCATGAAATCGGACTATTCAGGTTCGTAGAAGTTCGTTCTGAAATGGAGTGGTTGGTGTATTGCATAGTTTTAGCCATTGGATTTCACTCAAAACCAACCAAATGACTCCTCCCACCATATTATGTTGTTCCCCAAGTTTTGGACTCAATCCGATATCGATTGGTCCATGAAATCGGACTATTCAGGTTCGTAGGAAGTTCGTTCTGAAATGGAGTGGTTGGTGTATTGCATAGTTTTAGCCATTGGATTTCACTCAAAACCAACCAAATGACTCCTCCCACCATATTATGTTGTTCCCCAAGTTTTGGACTCAATCCGATATCGATTGGTCCATGAAATCGGACTATTCAGGTTCGTAGGAAGTTCGTTCTGAAATGGAGTGGTTGGTGTATTGCATAGTTTTAGCCATTGGATTTCACTCAAAACCAACCAAATGACTCCTCCCACCATATTATGTTGTTCCCCAAGTTTTGGACTCAATCCGATATCGATTGGTCCATGAAATCGGACTATTCAGGTTCGTAGGAAGTTCGTTCTGAAATGGAGTGGTTGGTGTATTGCATAGTTTTAGCCATTGGATTTCACTCAAAACCAACCAAATGACTCCTCCCACCATATTATGTTGTTCCCCAAGTTTTGGACTCAATCCGATATCGATTGGTCCATGAAATCGGACTATTCAGGTTCGTAGGAAGTTCGTTCTGAAATGGAGTGGTTGGTGTATTGCATAGTTTTAGCCATTGGATTTCACTCAAAACCAACCAAATGACTCCTCCCACCATATTATGTTGTTCCCCAAGTTTTGGACTCCATCCGATATCGATTGTCCCTCAAATTTTGGACGATTAAGGTTCGGTACCAGTCGCTCTGAAAATGAGTGGTGGGTGTATTGCATAGTTTTAGCCATTGGATTTCACTCAAAACCAACCAAATGACTCCTCCCACCATATTATGTTGTTCCCCAAGTTTTGGACTCAATCCGATATCGATTGGTCCATCAAATCGGACTATTCAGGTTCGTACCAAGTTCGTTCTGAAATGGAGTAGTTGGTGTATTGCATAGTTTTAGCCATTGGATTTCACTCCAAACCAACCAAATGACTCCTCCCACCATATTATGTTGTTCCCCAAGTTTTGGACTCAATCCGATATCGATTGGTCCAGAAATCGGACTATTCAGGTTCGTAGGAAGTTCGTTCTGAAATGGAGTGGTTGGTGTATTGCATAGTTTTAGCCATTGGATTTCACTCAAACACCAAATGTCCTCCCATTATGTTAAGTTTGTTAATGTGTTATTAACTCGCAATTGTACGGGCCCAATTAGTAATATAGCAAGACAAGTACGAGGTCGTACCCACGAGGACTGAGAAGTTAAAATTAGTTATGTACTTAGATTACCAAATTCAAGAAAGTAGGAGGTTAAGTCTAAATAGAATTTAAAGCAAGAGTGATTGTAATTGTTGAACAAATGAGGCAAAACGAAATTTCAAACAAAAGCAAAGTGAGCAAATGTAACAAAGAGTGTTTTTGTGGGCTGGAAAACAGATTGGGAGACTAGGGCATTCGATTCACCATAACAATTCAATTCTAAGTTATAAGGAGTCAAGTGACAAGTCTAATTCAGATTCAAAGATTGATTCTAGCTAAAGTATGATTAGGCCATGGTGTCTGGTCCTAACCTTGTGTTCCTAATTCCCTAACTTGATCATTTGTTGTCTAACCTAAATTAAGCATTAGGAACTCATTAAGCATAGAAGAACAATTTAAACAACCAAGCATGTATCTGATCCCTGTTGTCGAATGTCCATACATACTTTTCTTATTCATAGTTCAATTCGAATCAAAGCATGGTGTCTACTCTTGATTCAAACCAAGATAGCTAATATACAAGTTCTAATGGTGATCAATCATCCAAACAAGCATATTAACTGATAAGCATAATGAATAAGAACATGAATCATGAATCAAACTTGAAACTCAAAACTTCAACTTATAAACCCAGAATATTCATGTTAGGTTACATCGAAGTCCTAGTTATGAATTTAGCTACTCATAATGGAAATGAAACTTAAACAGAATGAGAAAACATAATGAATGTAATAAGAGTGGAAAAACCCCATTTCTGAAGTTACTTGTGGTGTCCAAGGCTTCTCCAAGTGCTTCTCCACACCTAATGCTGCTCCAAGAGCTTCCTCACATCTAGAGTATGGCAACTAAAGAGGTGATTTGGGATGAGTTTGGGTGAGTGGTGATGGCAGAGAAAGAGGAAATTCGTAGGGAAATGGAAGGAAGGCTTGTTGGAGCTGTTTTTGGTGATTTGGGGCTGAATGGAGGTGTTTGGGGAAGGGATGGGGGAAAAAAAAAAAAAAAAAAAAAAAAAAAAAAAAAAAAAAAAAAAAAAAAAAAAAAAAAAAAAAAAAAAAAAAAAAAAAAAAAAAAAAAAAAAAAAAAAAAAAAAAAAAAAAAAAAAAAAAAAAAAAAAAAAAAAAAAAAAAAAAAAAAAAAAAAAAAAAAAAAAAAAAAAAAAAAAAAAAAAAAAAAAAAAAAAAAAAAAAAAAAAAAAAAAAAAAAAAAAAAAAAAAAAAAAAAAAAAAAAAAAAAAAAAAAAAAAAAAAAAAAAAAAAAAAAAAAAAAAAAAAAAAAAAAAAAAAAAAAAAAAAAAAAAAAAAAAAAAAAAAAAAAAAAAAAAAAAAAAAAAAAAAAAAAAAAAAAAAAAAAAAAAAAAAAAAAAAAAAAAAAAAAATTAGAACACAACAATTACAAAATATATACACTCATGCCTTCTATCTCAAAAAACAAAGGACTTACTTTGGGTTATGGCGCCATTCCGAACAAAGTTTCAGCAATTTCACCATATCATCATGCGGAATCGCCTTCATTGGGTCTAACGTCCGAAGTCCGGTTGTCTTTGGCAAATTTTTTTTAACCACTTCACTAGCTTCAACGATCTTCCACATAGGAATAATCCTCTTCCTCTTCCGTAATTGGACCCCTCGTTCCACACCTTGACCTTCATCATTCAACCAAACGTTCAACTGAGATAACACAGCTCTAGGTTGATCCAAATCAATGTCCCCGACAGTAACCTCAACCTTTGTCCCCTCCGTGCTCTCGCCAATGTCATCGCCAACCAACATAACTTCATCATCCTCTTCCTCACATTGGTTTCTTTGCACTTCCTTTTCCTCACTTCTCTGTCTTTTCACTTCCTTGCCCTTTTTTTTTTTCGGATCCTCTCCCTCACTGCTTTTTCTTTGCAGTTCTTCCTCTCCCTCAATGCTCTTTCTTTGCGCTTCCTCTCCTTTGCTGCTTTTTATTTTCACTTGCTCTCCCTCACTTCTTTTCCTTTGAGCTTCCTCTACCTCCCTTGGTTTTCTTTGCACTTGGCCTCCTTCAATCCCCTTCTCTTCCTTTTCCTCTCCCTCATTTCTCTTACTTGGCACTTCACCCCCTTCAATCCCCTCCTCTTCCTTTTCCTCTCCCTCATTTGTCTTACTTGCCCCTTCACCCCTTTCAATCCCCTCCTCTTCCTTGTCCTCTCCCTCATTTCTGTTATTTGGCCCTTCACCCCCTTCAATGTCCTCCTCTTCATTTGCCTCTCCTTCATTTCTATTACTTGGCCCTTCATCCCATTGCATGCCATCCACTTCCTCATATCCCTTAAATAGATGTGACACGACACAACGATTCGTCCTCTCTTTCAGTAAAGCTATGTCCCTTCTCACTTCCTGCTCAAAATGAGGACCTAAACAGTGGCCCAAATTTTTTTCCATCCGTATGACCTTTAACTCAAGGACGTCCTTTTCCCGCTTTACTTGAAACAACTCGGACCTCAACAAGCTTACCGCCTTGTTCAACTCATCAAGGTCAGCACATGAAGAAGGAATTGACTCTGCCGAGACAACAGCAGGGCGACCCTGTGGCCAACTCCAATATGGTTGTCTCATTTCCTCTTCACTTGGACATAGCGCCCGCAACTGAACTGACTGTTTCAGAAAACAGACAAGAGTCATATGCAATCATTCTACTTCATAATTTCATTGAATCTTATAAATAGTTCCAAGGGCTGCAAACCAAACCTCTTTGCTCTGGAAAAAATAATTGTTCAACTTTCTCATCTCGGGAACAGACGTAGTAGTTCTCCATCGCAAAATACGCGGGAGAGCTGTCGGATCAACAACCTTGCAGTAATTCAGGTCCACCATTCTAGGAATTAATTCATATACCCAAATCTACACAATTCACAGGACACAAGTTATTATTTAAGTTTTAAAGTCAACAGAACATAACGACATGAACATTATTACCATGTACCTGGAAAGCATACGTGAAACCTTTAAAACTCCAGCCACCCCTTTGCACTTCACCATGGTTATCCTTCTTGCCCTTCTCATTTCTCCGGCTTGTTCCGGTTACCTTACATTTCCCCTTCCCTCTTCCCTCTTCATTTTCAAAGCTTTTCACATACTTTGTTGGTGCAGAAAACAGACTGTCTTGGGTTTTGTCAAACGACACCGAACCCCATGGAAACCTGTTGAACGCATCCAAGTCCTCTACAAGGGTCAGGTAATTTAGATTGATGTTCAAATGTTTGTCCCTTCCCAAAACCACTAACTCAGCAAAGTAAACAAGAGCTAGCTTGTAGACGTCATCTTCCTCTGTGCACCTCACAAATGCTTCTTCTAAAGCATTACATGTAATTCCTTCGTCTATAAAATATCTTTTCTGAAGTCTAATTTCATCACTTTCTCCACTGGAAACTTCAGGCACTTCCCCAAAACGAAGCCCTGAGATCAAACAGAAATCCTGACGAGTGAACTGAGCAACGTCGCACCCTATTAAGAAACTCAGTCCATCCAAGTCTTTCACACCCTGCCCCGCTACTCTACGCAACACAACCCCATGCACAATCTGCCCGCTAAACTGAATCTTATCTATATTCAGAAGATGGCCAAAGCATGATGTCTTGAATTGTTCTAATTGTTCGGCACTCAACTTCGCTCGAATTACAGCTAGGGATGAATTTGCATGTGAGCAGTTGTTCACCCGTGAGGAATATGCCTCTGACTCTGGCCATACCAGCTCAACGTTGGATCCCATTTCCTGAAATACAAGATGAAATAACGTGAACACATATACTACCACGTATTTGCACAATCACATTGGTATTTACACAACTAGTCAACCAGCACATTACAAATTTTACAAAGTACATGCGCATAGGGATTACTGATCACAGGCTTTAACATCATCAAAGCAATATGACATATTTTGTGCAAATACCTGTTAATGCAATGATTCTGTGAATTACAAGCACTAGCATGTGTTTTATTTATGGATCCAAACTCCAATCAATGGTTGATGCATGAGTGAGTGTGAGTGCAATCTAGGCAAGTTCTGCACTTCACACACATGACAATTATTGTCATTTCATACACAACACAAAATAAATAAATAAATAAATGAGAAAGATGGTGGAAGGAAGCAAAGCAAAGCATCTGCTCTGCTATCTGCTCGCTAAGCCATTGCCACATCCTTCTTTCTTTCTAGCTTTTTCTTCAGTCAGCCATAATCGTCATAGATCAACCTTTTTTCAAATGCTTTGCACTTTTATTCATGAGTTTATTATTATCTGTTCTCATTTTTAACAGGCAAATTTAGTAACAACGGAAATAATATTTATTTCAAAAATTATATATATTCTAGCTCCAGAGAGATAATCTGCACTCTGCACTGCTTCAAATGTGGAAGGTTTTGAGGGCCTCCTCCAATTCAACACCATTACCTTATTCATATCATTATTGACATGTTATTGACATGTTATTGACTTTATATTCATTCGTTTTTTAACATATACCCAAGCAAAAATTAACATGCAAGTGAAGCACAAAGAAGAGATGCCAAATCTAACAACATTCATGCTACAAATTGGGGAAAACGGTTACTCTAACCCTAAACTCAAATTCCATAAATTACTCACCAAATGCTGGTTATTGAACAATCGCAAGGTGTCTGTGTTGGGTCTTTGTGTGGCTTTGCTCCACAAATGGAACCTATCACTTCCAACGAATACGGCTTCTCTCCTTCCCCTTCCACTGCTTCGTCTTCACTGTTTCAGAATCCACGCCTTTGCTCTTTCCACTCAAAATAAATACTTTTTCACGGTTTAGATAGTGGAGTTGCGTTCAACCGTCGTTAACCTTTGCCTTCAACCGTCGTTGCCCGTTGCCTTCAACCGTCGTTGCCCGTTGCCTTCAACCGTTTCTCAGAGCTTAGCAGTTTCTCTCAGCTATGAGTTTGAGATCAATGGGTTTTTTCTGTTCAAACTTCGAACTTGCCTCTCTTTTTTTTTTTGTTGGGACCAACTTCATTGCTGGATATTAAATTCGGGTTTGGGTTCCTCACCTACCCGATTGCACAACTTTATCCCAATTCTCCCCAGCCCTTCGATTGATCCAATGACTATAAAGTGAACCCCTTATAACTTACCCCTTATAACTTACCCCTCATTATAGTCTGGCCGCTCTTTTTTGGTTCAGGTTTTGGTTCTAATGAAGAACTAGACTGTGCCGAGTCTTTTAGAAATATTATGCTTTTTTTTTTGTCAAACGAAAATATTATGTTTAAGCACCAAGTCCTGTGCTAGAAAAAAGAAAAAGCTTATCATTGGGATTTTCATGTTATCTCAGCACCTTTCAAGTAAAATGATTGTTGGTGTTATAAAATAGACAGAGTATGAAAGTACCACTGAATATTGGGGTGGGATTGTATTTGCTCTTGTGGTATTACACAGATAAAATTTTCTCTCTCAAATAAAATTTTCTAACTCTCAAAATTCTCTCACTTTTCTCTTCGGATTGGTCTATCTTCTTCTTCAACTAAGGATCCCTTTTATAGGGAAAGGTACCAAAGCAAATGCTTGGTGGAAGAATTGGAGGTGAAAACATTTCACCCACCAAAAACACTACTTCACTCACATCAATCTACTATTGCATGCACAAAAAGTCTTCCTTGCTACATCCACACACACGTTTCACAATAGTTGGCAATATTTATATTTATTTTATTTTATAATGAAACAAATAGGCTTGTAAGATATTATTTTCCTGATAAAATATATTTGTTTTTATAAAGTATAGGATTTTATTGTTTACTTATCAGTTAAGTTTTAGGAATTTTAGAAGATATGAGCTTAGCCAAGTTGGTTAGAGTGGATGTACTTCCCACTCTGCACTCGAGTTCGAATCCCCCTCCCCATAATTTAAAGTAGAATATTGCATGTATCACAACAATATTTTAGGAACTTTATGGAATTCATAATATTATGAATAAATAAATATTTATAAATACATCATGAGTTAAAAATATTCAACAAAGGTGAAACAAGAGGCTTAAGCAGCCTATGACCTTATACTTAATTTCTACTACCATCATCTACTAAATTGGCAACATTTTCAAACGTTTGTGCACTAAGATACAATTATAAATTATTGAAACTCCTGCTACTTTACTTGAACTTTGGCTTCTGGTAAACTGTGTGTGTTGATGTCCACTAGGGTAACAACTGTTAAGATTTCAGAAGGACGGACCCTTGGCCTACCACTAGCAACATCGATATTGTCCCCAACTTAACCACCTGTTTAGCAGGTGTGGGGTTTTATACAAAAGGCTTCGATTGACAGGACCCACCCCGAATTCCTCGGAACCCGAGATGAATCTTGTGAAATTCCTGACATCACCCTGATGTCGGGCCCACTTCTGAGACTATATCCTCTTTTTCCAAAAAGGAATAAGGGCATGAGACTTCCTACCGAAATTTCGGCAGAGCCTCCCCTGTAAATTGAACATTTCCCAAATATTTCAACCTGCATAAAACACATTTAATATTACAAACCGGCAGCATGCACAATATAATTTCATGCAATTCATAAACTTGGTCTCCGGCCTTCAAATAATCTGAAAGCAAACTACTAACAAAGTCCTTAAGCCAAAATAATACCTTAAACGAGGTAAATAATAATAAACTCAAAAGCACTTATGAATGCCGAACGCAACTTACATCGTCTAACTTTCCCAACTATCTCAATAGAACAATATAAATAACATTTAGTTTGTGGCTGCGCCTAGTAACTTTAGGCTGCCTACGTACCCTTCACAAGGGATCAAGCCACATGTAGTTCTTTCCAACAAACATCCCAGCCTCAACAACATACAATCCATTTCAAACATCTTTCTTTAATTCATCTCCCTAATAATCACATAATCTCCCTATACGCCGGAACATCCAACACCACGTATGGGGTCTGTCAACATGCCGGAAAATCCTATGCCACGTGTGACCTATCATCTCATATTACATAATCTCCCCATACGCCAGAACATCCAACGCCATGTATGAGGTTTGTCAACACCCTAGAAAATCCTATGCCACGTGTGACATATCATCTCATATTACATAATCTCCCCATATGCCGGAACATCAAACGCCACGTATGAGGTCTGTCCTCACGTCGGAAAATCCTACGCCACGTGGGACCTAACAATCACATAATCTCCCCATATGCCGGAACATCCAACGCCACGTATGAGGTCTGTCAACACGCCATGTGGGACCTAACAATCACATAATCTCCCCAAACACCGGAACATCTAACGCCGCGTATAGGGTCTGTCATGGATGCAATAGTGGGTGTGGTCGTTTGAAATCATATTTTTTCCAGATATGTTATGGATGCAGTAGTGGGTGTGGTCGCGACGACGCTTCATCAAGTGGTGGTGGTAGGGTTCGTCTAGGCTCATGGGTTGTTTTAAGGTTTGGTTATGTTGGCTTTGTGGGCTTTGTTTGGACTTATGGTTAATTATGGTTATGTGGGCTAGTAGTTTTAGTGCAGCTTTTGTCTGCGTTAGTTATGTTTTTAGCATGTTTATTTGTTGCCCTCTTGGGATTGGTATTTTAGATGTCTTGTTGATGTATTTGATTGTACCATTGAAGTCTATCTAATGAAGTTTTTATTTCATTTAAAAAAAAAAACATAATCTCATAATCTCCCAAAACGCCGGAACATCTAACGCCACGTATGAAGTCTGTCAACACGCCGGAAAATCCTACACCACGTGTGACCTATCATCTCATATTACATAATCTCCCCATACGCCAGAAAATCCAATGCCATGTATGGGGTCTGTCCTCACGCTGGAAAATCCTACGCCACGTGAGACTTAACAATCACATAATCTCCTTATACGTTGGAACATCCAACGCCACGTATGGGGTCTGTCAACACGCCGGAAAATCCTACGCCATGTGTGACCTATCATCTCATATTACATAATCTCCCCATATGCTAGAACATCCAACGCCACGAATAGAGTCTGTCCTCACGCCGGAAAATCCTATGCCACGTGGGACCTAACAATCACATAATTTCTCTATACGTTGGAACATCCAATGCCACGTATGGGGTCTGTCAACACGCTAGAAAATCCTACGCAACGTGTGACCTATCATCTCATATTACATAATCTCCCCATACGCCGGAACATCCAACGCCACATATGCGGTTTGTCCACACGCCGAAAAATCCTACGCCACGTGGGACCTAACAATCACATAATCTCCCTATACGCTGGAACATCCAACGCCACGTATGGGGTCTGTCAACACGCCGGAAAATCCTACACTACGTGTGACCTATCATATCATATTACATAATCTCCCCATACGCCGGAATATCCAACGTCATGTATGAGATCTGTCAACACCTTGGAAAATCCTACGCCACATGTGACCTATCATCTCATATTTCATAATCTCCCCATATGCCGGAACATCCAACGCCACGTATGGGGCCTGTCCTCACGCCGGAAAATCCTACGCCACGTGGGACCTAACAATCACATAATCTCCCCATATGTCGGAACATCTAACGCCGCGTATGAAGTTTGTCAATACACCGGAAAATCCTACGCCACGTGTGACCTATCATCTCATATTACATAATCTCCTCATACGCCGGAACATCCAACACTATGTATGGGGTCTGTTCTCACGTCGGAAAATCCTACACCACGTGGGACCTAACAATCGCAGGATAGTATTT